TATTTTAAAAGAAGCCACAGAAGAGGCTTTTATTTCACTTATGTTAGTCAAAATTGGTTTAAATTTGGAAAAGATGTCATTTTGACAAGGCATTAGTCATGAAAGAAAGTGATGAGAGAGAGTGAATACTCCTTAGGTACTCAAAGTGATGGATGACCACTTCCTATATGTATAGGAAAGCATCTTATACCTCTGTGACTTGTTCTCTTGGTACCTCGAGATTAGATCAAAGTCAGTCAGTCCCTGGTCAAAAGCTTAGACAATGAAATTTTTCTAACAAATATTTCCTGAAGAAATCCAAAAGAGTGAAGGACAGAAATTAGATATAGTGCATTAAAAAAAAAAAAATAAAGCCACTGACAAGTTAAAAGATACACAGTTCTGAATGTCTTTAACACATCAGTAAATGAAAACAATAAATACAACAGTTAGTACAACAGATCAGACTTTGACAGCTAGAAAACTTTCATTACAAATAGTGATGAATATTAATAAAGTAGCATGAAAATAACATGCATTTCTGTGGTGGTTTTACCCAGCTGGGCAGATGAACTCCACCACTGAAACATGGAATTAGAAATTAGAGAGCAATTGATTAAGAATGAGTATGTGCTGTATTTGCGATGCACTGTGCCTGTGCTGCACTTAGACCTCCAGATAACAGGAGCCCCTCGGACCCTGAGAACCAGATCAAAACAACCTCATGGTTCAGACTTCAACCAAGGGGTCTGAGATAAGGAGGACTGCTCACAAAGGGACAAGATAAAGAATGTCAAACATGAAAGGCCTTGAGATAACAGGAGCCCCTTGGACCCCAAGAACCAGATCAAAACAACCTTATGGCCCAGATTGTGACCAAGGCCTCAGAGAGCATGCACAAAGAGATGAGGTGAAAAGTTCAACCCTGATGAAGACATCTTACTTCATCCCCACGACCTTCAGAGCCCACCACCACAAAGCACTGTGCAAGCGCAGACAAGAGGAATTTATGGAAATGACTTCTTGTAGCTAATTTTAATACTAAGCGGGGAACTTCTGCTCTGTGCCTGGAGCACCTCCTACCCTCCTGCACTGACCTTGGTGGTTGCAAGGCTGGTTCTCACTCCTCTCTCCAAGCTGCTACTGCACATTGTTTCTTCCCCTTTCTTAAATCTGCTATCCCAGAGGCACAACCAGCATCGCTCATGGCTCGGCTCTGGCCAGCAGCGCATCCCTTTTTGGAGCTGGCTCTGCTCTGACATGGGCCAGGTTCTGGGCTCTTCTCACAGAGGTCAACCCTGCAGCCCCTCACTACTAAACCCTTGCAATGTAAACACGATACACTGAGCTACTTGTGTTTATAAAAGAGAGAAAATATAAAGGCATTATGAACAAGAACAAGAAGGGCAATTGCATTTTGGTATGTGACTTGTTCAATAACAAAAACTCTTTAAATCAGCATAAATTTGTGTAAAATATGATGCTATTGTGTTACTGTAATTTACTGACATGTACAAAGTGCTTTGAGACAAATTAGGACTAAAACCAACCAAACAAACAAAAAGCTATGAACTATTTTCAAATATTTTATATCCACTCTGTACATGAATGTCTCCTTGAAATAGCTGAAGTTCTGATAAGGCATAACAAAAATAAAAATCTGTATAACATGTATGAAGAAAATATATGAGATTATGTCTTTAACGGAATAAAGGAGAATGAAAAAAAAATCTCTTCTGTTGTAACTCTCAACTTTGTTGTATCTCTCAGCAACTACAATCATGGGCAAAGCAGTCTCAGCTCAGGGAAGATTAATTTATTTCCAATTAATAAAAGAGTAGGACAGTGAGAACTAAAAACATACTAAAAACACCTTCCCTCCACTTTTCTTTCCAGGTACAACTTCACTCCTGATCCTTCAACCTCCTCCCCACCCTGCATTGTTCAGGGTGATGGTGAATGAGGACTGTGGTCGGTCCATAATGTTTTGCCATTGTTGCTCTGTCATTGTCACACTCCTACTCTGTCAGGGAGTCCCTCTCACAGAGCGCCATCCTTCATGAACTGATCCCATGTCGGTCCTTCCCACAGGCTGCAGTTCTTCAAGAATTGATCTTACATGGATCCATACCACAGGGTGCAGTCCTTCAGAAACAGATTGCTCCAGCATGCGTCCACCATGAACTCACCATGGGCTGCAGCTCCTGTCACACCATCTGCTCCTGCATGGGTTCTCTGCAGGCTGCAGCTTCCTTCAGGCCATATCCAACTGCTCTAGCATGGGGTCCTCCATGGGCTGTAGCGTGGATATCTGCTCTGACATGGTACACTATACAGCCCTTTCTGACTATAGTTTAACTAAACCATCCATTTAAATTCACTTGAATAGAATATCCTTAAATCATATAAGAGCAAACCTGCATGAACAAAAAATGAAGAGATTGTACTTCCCTTACCAATGACAAATTTGCCAGTCTCTCTATCATAAATGAAGCAATTTTAATGAGATGTGAATGCCATTCCAGCAGATTATCACAGAATCACAGAATTTCTAGGTTGGAAGAGACCTCAAGATCATCGAGTACAACCTCTGACCTAACACTAACAAGTCCTCCACTAAACCATATCCCTAAGCTCAACATCTAAACGTCTTTTAAAGACCTCTAGGGATGGTGACTCCACCACCTCCCTGGGCAGCCCATTCCAATGCCTAACAACCCTTTTGGTAAAGAAGTTCTTCCTAAGATCCAACCTAAAACTCCCCTGGTGCAACTTAAGCCCATTCCCCCTCGTCCTGTCACCAGGCACGTGGGAGAACAGACCAACCCCCACCTCTCTACAGCCTCCTTTAAGGTACCTGTAGAGAGCAATAAGGTCGCCCCTGAGCCTCCTTTTCTCCAGGCTGAACAAGCCCAGCTCCCTCAGCTGTTCCTCGTAGGACTTGTTCTCCAGACCCCTCACCAGCTTTGTCACCCTTCTCTGGACTATAACATCAGCAGATCTGAAAATGCTATAGCTGAAACATTCCTAAAATTACTCATACAATTTCTTTGTGCTTTGTAAAAGACAAATATTGACTGCAAGTTGGCAAAAGACTTGCATATTTTTCTGATAATGAAAAAATAAACTTTATCCAAAGAACTTAGAGTTAAACTGCCATTGACTTTGCTTTCAGTTCAGCTACCGTCAGTGTGGCTGAAGCAATAGTGACATTTTTACTGTTTTATGCAACAGAAGTAATACTGTAGGGCATCTACTCCATAGTACAGATGCGTGGGTGGGGATGACAATAGTCCCTGGGTGAATGAAGGTAAGTTTTAATTTCTTGTCTCTTTGTTGTTTATTTCCCCTACCATACTGTAGAGGTGATGATACCAGTTTCCTTTAGAATGCAAAGAGCTCTGTTCATGTAAAAGTTGAATGCGTACAACGCATCTGCACAAAAGCCACCACATTAAGTGTGAAACCTTGTCTGATAATACCCTTACAAATGATTCCCATAATTCCCTTGTTTTATTATTTTCAAAACTTCCTTTTTTACTGTTGGAAAAGGTCACGTGCACTCTCTGGTAAATGTGATGTAAATTCTCTAGGACAGCATGCATCCTACCTCCTCTCTGTAAAACATCTTCAGTAATTCATTCAAAATACTAACATCACCATATCCATTTTTCCTATATTCAAATTGTAAGAGTTGAGTTTCCGATTTGTTCGGTATGGGATTGCTGACTGAAGGCTGTTACTAAATGAGGCAATCCTGAGCCCTTGAATGACAACATACTTCTTCCAAATAAATAAATAAAAGTAAATGTGATTTGAGGAAGTAATTTCATAGATTCTTTATGCATTATTCTTAATTTAAGATGGAGATTTAATATACCAAAACATTTGGAAACCCCCTAAACGTTGTTCTAAATAGTTTTAGGATGGGTATGGGTTATCTGTTGAGCTGTACAGGACTCCTTTCATTATCTCAGGAAAATAATATATATACTTGTTCATTGTCACCTGTTGAAGAATAAGGCAATGAAGACAAAATATATTGCCAGTTCTATTGTGGTCCATGTGTAAGTATACAATGATTTATGAATGGAAGAGGAGAGGAAAATGCAAGTGGATTGGGAATTCAAACTGTGTTTATTGTTACCTTGATGATAAACTTAAATTTTCCTGATTTCTGTTAGCACAATAGGGTGCAGGGAAGGTGAGAAAAGAAAAAGTAAGGAAGAAGACTTTTGAAAGAGGAAGAATAAAACTTCATTTATAATATTTCTAATTCCCCAAAAGTGCTGCCTTTCAATGGTAGCTTTCTTATGCAAGTTTTTTTTCTCACATTTTAAATACAAAATTTCAGTGATATAACTTTTAAGTGGTAATGGCTCAATTTTTCCTTCACCAAAATATTAAATGGGATAGTATTATTAGTGACTTACATTGGTTCCCAAAATTTTAGCTTGAAACGAAGGAAGAGAAGCTCTAAACAAGTGAATATATTTCTTTGCCTAAAGATAGAGAGAGGCACATTGGGTGGGGTTTCAAGTCAGGTAATGATGGTGTTTCTCAGCTGTGTAATGGAGCATGATAAAGTCTCTCACAGTAATCATCAACCCTAGCTGTCTTGCTAGACATGCTGAAAGTGATTCCAAAGTTTAGAAATGAATTGCTTAGCATACGTGGAAGAAAAATAATGCAACCAACTGTGAGTTATTTTGAAACTGAATATTGTGCAAGGCTGAAACAAAAACCCAAAAAGACATTTTGTGCGATGTGAACATCAGCTCTGTTGTTGGACTGCTGCATTGCAACCACTACTGCAGCTCTGTTGGGCAGGTGTAGAAGACAGTCAGCGAGAGTCACAGTTATTTTATGGATGTAATTAAAATACAAAGAAGCAGAAGAAACTCCCCACAGTTCAGGTGGAAAAAGTTAGAGACCTGCTGCTCCACCTGGACTATCACAAGATGAGGGGGCCAGATGGAATCCACCTGCTGGTGCTGAGGGAGTTGGCAGATATGATTGTTGGGCCACTTTCCATCATCTATCAACGGTCATAGTCATCTGGGAAGGTCCCAGATGACTGGAGACTTGCTAATGTGACACCCATCTATAAGAAGGGTTGTAAGGAGGACCCAGGGAACTATAGGCCTGTCAGCCAGACCTCAGTGCCAGCAAAAGTGGTGAAACAGGTCATCTTGAATGCAATCACACGGCATATGCAGGACAACTGGGGTCCAATCATCATGGGTTCATGAAAGGCAAGTCCTGCCCGACCAGCCTCATCTCCTTCTACAACTGGGTGACCCACCTGGTAGGTGACAGAAAGGCTGTTGATGTAGTCTGCCTAGACTTCAGCAAGGCCTTTGACACGGTCTCCCACAGTATTCTCCTGGAGAAGCTGGCAGCCCATGGCTTGCACAGGTACCCTCTTTGAGGGGTTAAAAACTGGCTGGGCAGCTGTGCCTAGACAGTGGAGGTGAACGGAGTGAAATCCAGTTGGCAACCAGTCACCAGTGGTGTTCTCCAGGGCTTGATGTTGGGGCCCAGATTCTTTAAGGTCTTTACTGATGATTTGGACGAGGGAATTAAGTGCATCCTCAGTAAGTTTGCAGACGACACCAAGTTGGGGGGAAGTGTCCATCTGCCAGAGGGTAGGAAGGTCCTGCAGAGGGACCTGGACAGGATGGGTAGATGGACAGAGGCCAGTGGGATGAGGGTCAACATGGCTGAGTGCTGGGTCCTGCACTTTGGTCACAACAACCCCATGCAATGCTACAGGCTTGGGGGAGAGTAGCTGGAAAGCTGTGCAGAGAAAATGATCTGGGGGTGCTGATTGATGCTTGCCAGAACAGGAACCAGCAGTATGTCTAGGTGGCCAAGAAGGCCAACGGCATCCTGGCTTGTGTCAGGAATAGTATAGCCAGCAGGACCAGGGAGGTGATTGTCCCCCTTGTGTTCTGCTCTGGTGAGGCCACACCTTGAGTACTGTGTTCAGTTTTGGGCCCCTCACTGCAAAAAAATCATCAAGGTCCTGGAACATGTCTAGAGAAAGGCTACGAAGCTGATGAAGGGCCTGGAACACAAGTCCTATGAGTAGCAGCTGAGGGAACTGGGGTTGTTTAGTCTGGAGAAGAGGAGGCTTAGGGGAGACCTTATTGCTCTCTGCAACTACCTAAAAGGGATTTGGGGGGAGCTGCCTCTTCTTGCAGATAACCAGAAATAGGACAAGAGGGAATTGCCTCAGGTTGTGTCAGGGAAGGTTTAGGTTGGAGATTAGGAGACATTAATTTTCAAAAAGAGTAGACAGGCATTGGAACAGATTGCCCAGGGAGGTGGTGGTGTCACCGCCCCTGGGGGTGTTTAAGGAATTGTTGGGCTTAGTGCTTGGGAACATGGTTTTAGTGAGTGACATTGACAGTAAGGGGATGGTTGGACCACATGATCTTGGAGGTCTTTTCCAACTGTAATGATTCTATTATTCTATGATTCTGAGGTTTAGATCATTATTCTAAGGCAGTCATGACTCATCTATTTGCAGGTCACAAACGTCTGCTTCACTGGACACAGACTGAGAGACATCTCTGCCTTAAGTCCTTGCAAGGGGAAAGTAAACTGATGACCAGCCCTGAGTTGATGGACTTGACTGATTCAGAAGAGAACAGAGAAAGAGAGAGAGAGAGAAAGAAAGAAAGGAAAAAAGGAAGAAGGAAGAAAGCAAGAAAGGGAAAGAAAGGTAGAAAGAAAGAGGGAAGGAAAAACTAACACCAAAAATAAACAAACAAAAAAATGCAGATATTGATCATAGCGTGCAAAAGCCACACAAGTATTCATTTTAGTATTCCAGCCCGTAATCATGTAAATTGTAGCTGAATTAATTAAAACACAACTAAAGTACAGAATAAAAGCACTATTGGAAATTAAAAAAATAATAATAGTAAAAAAAAAAAACATCATAATAATAAAAGATAAAATCTACAGCTACTTGTATATCAGCTATTCAATTGAATGCCCATCTATCAAGTTAGCACCAAAAAAAAAAAAATAAAATCTGAGAGTAAAAAGAGTTCGGATTGAATTAAAGAAATTATAAAAGAGAAAGATGAGAGTGACTCCAGCATCTAGTGTTACAGTGTACAATAAACTGATTTGGGTCTCTGTTGATAGTAACAGAAGTATTGGGAAAATAAAAAAAGTGATGGGAAAATGGTTCAGTAGCTGCAAAAGAAGGCTTGCAGCAAAATTCTGTCAATTGAAAAGGCAATAATGGGAAAGCAAGTCTCTAACAGAAAAGAAAAGGTGTCAGCTTAAAATAACTTTCTTTTAACGCTTGGAAATCATTGTTTTGTATACATAGGCTCTGATAATGCATTAGGGCATACTGCCATTGGTATTGTGAAATATGTTCATTTGATTCGTGTCAATATGGAACAATGCTAAGGCCTCATAATGAAATGTGACCTTGTGTCTTATGTACCCTTGTATAAATAACCACAAGTCCAAGAGAAACAGAGTGGTTAGTGTATATAGTTCTTGTATCTTGCAAAAGAAGGGTCTAGCAGTTCGTGTCGATAGAGGGTTTGAAGGGTAAACCTTGAGACTCGGGTCTGGGAGATAAGAGAATAGGGGGGAGTTTTTTGAGATAACTGCTGACTATTGCACGAGACACAACTTTCTGACATCTGGCCCAGAGACTACTAAATAAGGAGAGGGGGGGAAGCTGAAGAACGACCAAAGGACAAAGCCTAGGAGGAAGACTACAAGCCTTCCCAAATCTCCCCTTTCTTTATTAATATCAACCATTTTCTCGACACAAATTACCACTCCATATATAACATTTATAACAGATGAGAAAGGTTTAATTAAAGGGAAAGGGAATGGGGAGAAAAAAAAGAAACAAAAGAAACAATAAGTCCTCGCGGAAGCACAGAGAGAGGGAAAAAAAACATATTCTCTACTTCCCATCAACGAGCGATGTTCGGCCACGTCCTGGGAAGCAGGGCCTTAAAATGCGTAGTGGTTGTTCAGGAGGAACAGCCCCCTCCCCCACGAGAGCCCCCCTTTTTATTGCTGAGTGTGACATCAGGTGTTATGGAATATCCCTTTGGTTGGTTTAGGTCAGCTGCCCAGGCAATGTCCCCTCCCCATCACTTGCCCACCCCCAGCCTGCTGGCTCTTGGGGTCTTGGAAGGAGTCCTGATGCTGTGCCAGCACTATGCAGCAATAGACACAACACTGGAGTGATATCAGTGCTGTTCCAGCTACGAGTGCAGAGCACAGCACTGTGTGGGCTGCTGCAGGGAAAAGGTGACTCCAGCTCAGACAGACCCAACACAATGAGTAATATCCAAAACAAAGACCTTTTAAAGAAAGCCTCCTTGGGTGCATATTGGCACATTGGAAGGATATTGTTAGAACTGGGGGAACAGAAAGCAAGAGGACTTTCACTAAGTATTGCAATCAGTGGTGGCCACTATATAAGCTAAATGGCCACTTTATGGATCAATCCACTGTAACACTATCTTGCAATTAATGTTTTTGAGGAGAGAAGGAAAATAGGATGAAATGTAGTATACTGATATGTTGTTTCAGCATCATAGAGGGAAAAGGTGTGGACTTAAGTTGGCTCCTGACTGAGCCTTTGGTGTTGGCATGAGAAAAGTACAGGCTGGAGAAAGATAAAGGAAGTGTTAAAAGGGTTGTTGGTGGTGTTAAAGGTGTGGCATGTAATATTTAACAGCTGTTTGAAGTTGAATGAGCAGGGAAAGAGGATGTAGGAATGTTAATAGTTCTGCCTCAACAGGAGGCTGAGATCTCAAAATCACCAGTGTGAGCCCTCTGGGGCAGAGGGACCTTGATGGGTCCGGGAGAGAGTTGTCATGGAAACAGAAGATCAGCTAACTCTTAAAACAACTTGAGTTTATGAATGAGCTCAGATTGCCAATGGGACCACTCAGGGAACTGTTGATGATTGCATTCCCCTGACCGACCCCACACTGAGACCACAGTCACCCTGGAAATAATGAAAGATAAATGCCAAAATCTGGTTAAATTGGGAATTGAGAATCTGTTCCAACAAGGTCCAAAAGAAACCCCTATGGAATTTTTGGACCAACTTTGAAATGCATTGGGTTTTTTGAAATAGCAAAGCAAATTACACAACGTTGCTTAACTTGTCAGAAGATAAATAAGAAAGTGTTTGGACAAGCAGCCACGGGAGGGAGAAAAAACAGCTTCTTAGGTCTTTTGAGAAAGTACAAGTTGATTTCACTGAATTTCCCAAAGTAGAGCGGATAAAATATCTATTGATAATAGTAGATCATTTAACACAATGGGTAGAAGCTTATCCCGTAACACGAACTACGGCACAAATGGTGGTAAAAATTCTATTGGAACACCTGATACCTAGATATGGGATAATCCAGTACATTGATTCTGATCAGGGCACATACTTTACTTCTAAAATAATAAAATTATTATGTCAATCATTAGGTATTCAGTGGGAATAGCACACTCTGTGGCACCGACAAAACTCAGGGAAAGTAGAAAGACTGAATCAAACAATAAAACAACAATTGGCTAAGTTAATGATCAAGACACAAATGCCCTGGACGAAATGCTTACCATTGGCACTTTTAAACATAAGAACTAAACCACACAGTGAGACCGGATTATCACCATATGAAACGTTATATGGTGTTATATATGGAGTGGTAATTCATGTTGAGAAAATGGTTGATATTAATAAAGAAGGGGGAGATTTGGGAATGTGGCCATGGGGGTTGGAAAGCCCTGTGGTTGAGATAACATTAGACTCTTAACGATGAGGCCATCAGGAATATAAAAGAGTTTAGAGGGAACAAAGAAGGGTGATTCAGGAGACTCCATGCAGTCTCCAATTTCCTGTTCTCCAGCTGGTCTCTTGTTCTCCAGCCATTAAGGCATGGATGTTTCTGGGTGTTTGCTGTTGTTGTTACATTCAAAGTTGTTTGACCAATGAAAAGTTGTTTTTGAAAAGAACTGCTGTGGAGAGAAGGGTATAAGAGGGGAGCCTGCCCTCAAGACGGAAAAAAAATAAAGATAAAAAAAGGCAATACGATGAAGTTACGTCATCAATAAAGAAGCAGGAAAAAGAAGTGAGGTGGAACAGGCTGGCAGAATGGAGACCAGGATGGGAACAGGCACTTTGATTTGCCTCATGAAGATAGGTTCGGCCAAACTCAGCAAACCGCTCAAAGAAGCTCATACTGAAAGTTGCTGGAAATGGGTGCACCAGAGCTGGAACGAAGCTCAAGCTGAGAGAAGCGGACCCGCGCACACAACTGCCTCTCGCTGGTAAGCAGTTGCACATTATGGGGAATCATACGTCCTTAGAAACAAAGACTGTTCTGGTAACCTTACAGCTTATTCTCCTTATTAACAATCGGACAGTTTATGATCCTGAAACATGGGACCAAATTGAGGTCAAGGTGTGGGACTCTGCAACTAAAAATGACAAGGTTGCAGTGGGATTGCTCGGCACCTGGCAAGCAGTCTCTGAGGCCTTAAAGAGCCCTGTGGGACCACAGTCAGAAACATGTGGTTTGCCAGACAGTGAGGGAGCTGTGGGCTCCTTTACTGATCCGACTGCTACGCCATGGGCCCCTCTGCTGCTACAGCCATTGAAGGCTTTTGCTGTTACACCCCCTGGTGACCTGAATGTGCCTTTTGACCCAGGCCTCATTGGCCTTGAAAAGGAGATGGATATGCTTTCCTTCAATATGGGAAGAACGGGATACATAAGGCCTGAAGACCAAGTTGCTTGACAACTTGGAGCGAGACATATTGTTCAAAAGGAATGGAAAATGGAGACTTGTTTGTAGTCAAGAAAAGGAATGGAAAATGGAGACTGTTAAGTCATGAAACTTAAAGGATTGTTTGTTACCTTTTCTGACTGTATAGGCATAGTTGGGTTTAGTATGTAAAAGCAATGTTCTGTATATTTAGAATGTTTGATGTTCGTGTGTGCATTTTGGTGGAGCGTGGACTCCCCGCACACCCAGCGCTGTTTACTTGCTTTTTATACCTTTTATAAATATTCCTTTTATAAATATTACTAAATTCAGATTTAGTTGAGACTTAATTTATAACAATGGTATGCCTTATTCTCAAGGGATGCCTCTAGGGAACAATGTAGTTGAGGATCGTAGTATCCAGAAATATATAATTATTATTGGAAGGAGATTAACACCAAACAACATCAAACACCACCTTTAGGATTTGCTATTCATAAGATACAACCAGGAGACAAGGTCTTAATAAACACCTGGAGGGAAGAATCACTGAACCCCCGATGGGAGGGACTGTACCTTGTTTTACTGACTACTGAAACAGCTGTGAGAACAGCAGAAAGGGGTTGGACCCACGCATCCAGAATAAAAGGACCAGTAACTACCGAAACTTGGAGGGTTGAGTCTGCTCCTGGGGAACTGAAACTCAAGCTAAAGAAGAACTAATATTCTGGCAACGAGGCTCTGCATGAATTAAGGATGCCAAATAAAGGGGACAAGCCTGAAGGGCGGAAAGAGAGAAGGCAAGACCCTCCGCTGTGGTGTGTATGGTCTACCGAGGGAGGCAACCCCTATGGGTATTGACTGCCAAGTGAGAAGGGCCTCGACCGGACTTCTCCCGCACTAAGGTCGGGTTGTCCCGAGAAAATAACATAAGAACCTTTTTTTTAAACCCATATAAAATTGTGATTAGTTTTCCAGGAGCTGGATCACCCTGACAGACTGAACAGTAACACAAGCCTGAATCGACCCTGAAAGCGGGCCCAACCCCTTGATTGAAGGCGTTTGCCTATTATGATCCAGCTATGTGGGCAGAAGACGGATCCTGGGGCTATAGGACCCCAATATATATACTTAATAGAATAATGAGGTTACAAGCTGTAATAGAAATAGTTGTAAATAAAACCGGAGATGCACTTGGATTAATTGCAAAGCAAAATACCAAGATGAGAACTGCTTTGGATTATTTACTAGCACAAGAAAGAGACGTCTGTGG